CTCTTACTCTTCGCCCTTTCCTTCTCTCTCTGTCATTCCTTAATCTCCTTCTATCAATCCCCTCTTCCCTGTTGGTATTCAGATTTGAAACCTTTATTAGCACGTAAGGGGAAAAAGCCCTTAGAATAGAAAAGGATGAGGATAAAGGGCATAAAAACATCTTTCTTAAATTATACATGCATTTCGGTCCTGTCACTGAACATAAGAGACACACATATTTAAATGTATTTCTGTGCTACTGTGATTGCATCTCCACTTCCTCCCTCATTTTAGTTGATTATATTTTGTAACATAATCATTAACTTTCGAAGAACCCGTATCCCTTAGATGGCAAGTACATAGGCCAGGAAAAGTGGAAATGATTTCCACGTCCATTTCCCCCAGGCAGCAGTGCTCGCAAACGATTTTTTCCTTTCATTAATGGGGTCTCTTGTACCCACTCTTCCAGGTCTTTGTTTACGCACAGCCACTCTGCACCCTGGGAGATTTTTTTCCCCACTCTCATCTCTGAAAGGCACTCAGCTAGAGAACAGAGTCCTTTTCCAAGCCAAACATCCTATTTCACAAATTAGCCAGCTGGTCTCATGGGTTTGTAGTTCGTCCTAATTTTTAGGTCACACTTTGTCGACGAGGGTCAGTTTCAGTTGCATTCTGATATTTGTTTGATTGAACATTAGTCTGGTTTATGTATATTTTCCAGTCGCGACAGGAAACGGAAACGAACAAGGCGAAATCACAGGGAATTCGATAAATATTCACAGGTTACAAAAGGACATTTTCCACTGGAATATTGTCCCATTCATTGTGAAAATAGGACCCGACATTTTACAAGTCACTTGATTAGACTATTCTAGATATTAGACCAGATTAGATTAGACTAGATCAGCCACTCTTTATTGATATACAGTCCGTCTATGCATCTATATCATGTTCCCTGTTTCCTGCTTGCAGTCTCACCAGTTCCTCATAGTTGGGCGCGGACACCTCCGGGTAGCCATAGGGCACCAGGATCAGCTGTCCGTAGGAGTGAATGGTAAGGAAGCAGATCACCCGGTCCTTCATGCTCTCCACCAGTGTCGTCACTGCCTGGGCCTCCTTCTCTGAGAGCACGCCGGAGCCACAGTAGATTTCCTCACAGCAGTTCCTCGACACTCCGATCACTAGGGATCAAAGGAGAAGGAAAAGATACGATGAACCCAGTGTTATTTCATATTCCCTTTGCCAGCAGCGTTTCTATTTCTGCGGCAGGACTCTGACCGAGTTATTCCAGCAAAAAATGCGTCAAAAGCACGTTTTGTTGTGGTGTCTGTTGACATTCCTTGTTTGTTGTTGCTCCCCTGGGATAGACACACAATATTTTAGTCATTATTGTAGCATGCAGCCCTTCTTCAAACACATTAATAAAAGAACACTGCATTCAAGCAGGAAGAGGGGGGGCATATGTGTCACTGATGTTGCAAAATTTTCCAGAAATCGATCTACAAAAAGACATAAGCAAAAAGTGGCAGAGAATAACATGCCGCTGCTTGGATTACTGAGCTGTGCAGCTTGGGGGTCTCTAGGTGACAGGCGGAGTACACTTACTGCCCCAGTTAGCGTTGAAGTTGCGGTTCAGATCAGCACCATAGCAACTGCAGTCCTTAGGGGGAGTTGATCTTGACTTCCTCCACAGGCGACTCTGTGTAAAGGTTGAACGAGTCCTCAGTCACTGCTCATGCATAATTTAGCCTGTTGGATGGACTGAGAGCACAGGCAACATGACAGGTCACCCTGAAAGTGGAACTCACGCTCTCGTTATGCCAGGTATACGTGTAGCCATCGATGTTAAGCACAGGCGTGACGTAGAAATCGAGATTCTGGAGGATAGTGTTCATCTTCTCATCTGTTTTGTACGTCCTCAGGATCTATTTGGAACGACATCAGTGTAAATATCCAACCAAATAACCATCCATTTTCTGTAACCGCTTATCATATTCAGGGTTTTGGGGTCCAGAGCTTATCCCGGAGGCTACAGACACAAGGCAGGGAACAACCCAGGATGGGGCGCCAACCCATCACAGGGCACACTTAAGCGCCATTCACACCTACGACCTGGCAACTCCAGTTAACATCATTATGTTTTTGGACTGTGGGGGGAAACTAGAGTACCCAGAGGAAACCGCAGAACGTCATGCGGAGAACATGCAAACTCCACGCACATGGAGCCAGGGTGGAGACTTAAACCCTGGTGCCAGAGGTGTGAGGCGACCCTGCTAACCACTGCATCACTGTACTGCATCCAACCAACCTGTCATTTTATATTCCACGTATTTAATTGATGTGCGTGGCGAATGCGCATATTGTGAACATGAATACACTGGGTCATCTCTGCCCCCCTACTGGCACTGACGTCTCCAGCATCTCACCTCTTTCACAAACCACTGGCAGAAGGCAGGAGAGATCCACTCCCTGGCATGAATCCCACAGTCCATCCAGATGACCTTCTTCGACTTGGTGGAGTTCAGCCCAATCTATGGTACATATCATTTAAGCTGCTGCCTTTTTGTCACTCTGGTTCTCAGTTTTAGGTGTCTGCCTGCTGGTGTTGACATGCAGAACCTTCAGTCATGTAACGTTCTCAAGGCTTAACTCAAATACCTTCAAAACAGAAATGTTTTTTCCCTCAAACGTGTTTCCATAGACCATAGAAGAGGCCACTTCCGGATTCTCTTTCACCACCATTACCATCCATGAAGTTATCTAAGAAAAAAGGGAATTCAGACCATGTTTTACAACACGGTGGAAGCTGCTGCTTCACCTCCTAGGAGGAGATCTGACCTACTTTAGCTCAGCGATTCAACATAAACTTTGGCATCTCATAATCTTCTATCAAACATGAAGGGTTTTGTAGTGGTTGTATTTATAACCAACACACTATGGAATCTGATCCATAAAGGGACTGGATTAAATATCCAGATTATGGATTTCAAGGTATATATTTTTTCACTTGCTAGAAATATCTGCTACATAATTTTGTTATTTATTTTTTTCTTCATGACGGACTTGATATCTCACCTCTTCCATGGGATGGTACTTGGTGTAGTCGTAGTTCTCCAGTGTTACCAGTGGCTTGATGTCCGAAAGTCTGGAAATATGTGACGTGACAGAAAGATCAAGGCACGAGTGGACAGACAAATGGGTTTATAAAACGCCTTTCCCGTGTTCGGGGGAGAAATGAAACATGACCGAGAGACGGATAATCATCAGGATTTACGTTTTACTCTAGCTGAACAAAATCTAAAGTGATGACTTGGATCTCTTGAATTATAGCTGAGCATGACCATTCCTTATAAAACAATTACAATTGCAGAGCTTAACAAAAGACATCCAGGTGTCTCACTAGGGATAGAGAAATAAGACATAAAGACTCACACATGGTAAACTCCTAGCAGGAGCTGAGTGAAAACTAAAAAGCCCCCCAATCTCAGCATGCTGTAGCTCTCCACACCAGCACCTGCACTGTACCAAAGCAGCGCACCCAGTAATCTTAAGACACAAGTGGCAACGGAAAAGATTAAATTGCTCCGCTTATCTCATAACTGGGTAATAGCGTTCCCAGCACCTTTACCCTTTGTGGAGTAAATGCAAACAAGTGGGCTCAGAAATTCTGACCTTATTCAAAGATCACACTCACATCACCCGGCATTAGAGTTATCCATCCCATGGTAGAGAACAATTGCTGCGTCCCATTTTAAACCAATACCCTCCCGCTCAGTAAATTTAATCACTGGGGACCCAGGGGGTTCCTCAGATTGACAGTGGCAGCCCTATCTATCGTATTTAATTTGCACATCTGCAACCCTCAAGAGACAGTCTATCAACAACATATGACAGCTTCACATGACCGGAAAACTTTAAAACACATCCACACATAAATCCTTGATGACCGAGATTTTTGTGACCCCACATATACAGTAATACTGCTTCCATGCATTTTCTGAAACCGCTTGTCCTATTCAGGGTTTGGGGGGGGCTATGGGCACATGGCAGGGAACAACCCAGGATGGGGCACCAACCCATCACAGGCAGTAATACTATTTAATAATGTTTAATAATACTTCTATAAATAAAAAAAATTATATTTGTGTATCTTCACCCGTTCAGTAAAAAAAGCACGTGCATAACCCATTGTACTATTCCACAAAATAAAAGTCACAATGCACTGCAGTTTTGAATTTTAATATATTGTTATTATTTTTTGAGTGACGTCACCTGGTCAGAGTACAACACAGCTCTTAATTACAAAGATAAAAGCAGATCGTTGTACGATGTGGAGAGGGATTTCTTTATAGCACTGCAATTATGCTGTAAATAATCATTTATGGCAACAAAATTACTGGATGTGGCTTCCAACTTCAGGTTAAAGTACAGCAGTGCAGAAACCTGGCGCCTGCCCTTGGAAACACACGGAACAAAGCAGTTGTCGCCATATTAAAAACTTTTCTTATCTAGTTGGCAAACCGATCTTAATATGAGCTTCTACTGGTACATAATTTTAAGACTGTCAACAAAAATCACAAATAAATAACTGGTATGTGATGTTGGAGACTCATATCATTTCTACACTCAGGTCCTGCTCGTGTTGGGGTTGTTCTACACGCCAATGGGGATTTTGTGTGGTGTTTGAACAAGCTGCACTAAACCTTTGCCTTTATATTGCACGCTTGATCTGTTCATTTTCTTTTATATTACATGCCACCATGTCAGGGTTTGCATATTGTGTATATTCACTGGTATATGGTCAGACTTTTTGAAATTGATTTCTTCTTCGTAAATACATGGTATAAACAAAACATGTCAGTAAAATAAAAGTTTCGAGAACAGTGACAAAGCAGCCAAGAGGCCATGAGTTTTAAAACCACTGACAACGAATGAATGTTTCAAATGTATAGTCTTCTCTGTCTGTCTCTGTCAGTTGTTTAATAACGACAGACAGGCTCATTGGTGTGTCACCACCCCTCTGATTAGAGGAAACATCCGAAGAAATGCTGAGTGTGACTGCAGGGCCACAATCCTGCCCGTCCTCCTGAGGTACTGCTGCATTTCAATGGGGCTGAGGAAAATCTTGCAATCTCTCTGTTACTTTGGGAGCAATATTAGCGATCCACTAGAAGACAAGGACATTATCTTAAGGTGCGGGTAAGAATTCCTGTGCCCCGCCTTGTTCAAACAGAATAAATGCATAACTAATATGTCAGTATTTTGGTATGTATTCCATGTGTCCAAAAACATAATTATTATTATTATTGTTGTTGTTGTTATTATTAGTAGTAGTATTAGTAGTAGTATTGATCATTGCTCTCAACTGTAATAACAGTAATGTTAAAATCCTTCTGATTTTCTGTGACTGACTTTTGCACGTAGTTATGCTCCTGACCCAGCCTCACCCTTTCTCTGCTACGCAGGTGATTTAATGCACCCCTGATTTAATTCATAGCTAGCCGGCTGTTTGCAGGAGACGGCTCATGCCGGGGGGGGGGGTGGTCTTAAGTCTATCGATCACCTGGGCTGCTCCAGGCTGAGGGAAATAGCACAGCATTTCCGAAGGTGGCTTTCCCCGCTGTTAGATAAAACCCTGTAGCTCTGGTTCAGCTGATTTCTGGCAGTTTGGTGCTGTTTTGCTCAGCCATGTTAGTAGAAACAGTCGAAGTGGAATCTCAGACTTCACTCCAAGTCCTGAACTGGCCATTGTGGCTCCGCCCATCCCCCAGGTATCGGGAGGGAGGCGGGTGTGACCTGGACAGTGGGGCAGGGGTGGACCAGCAGTGGAGCCCCTGCGGAATCGTGTGGGTTGCCTCCCCCACCGTCGAGCCTAACTCAGAAGATGAGTTGCATGCTTTAATCATAATGAGGAACCAGTTGGACAAAGACACAGAGGTGAGTGAGCCAGGACACAACATAGACATCCACACACATCATAGTCCAAGACAGTACACTGCCATTTAATCCTTATTCCAGTTCCCATTTTAAGGCCCCCTCTGCTGCGTAGGAGTGCATGGTGTAAAAATGGAAAGGTACTTCTCATTGTTGCTAGTGAATTGATTGTTCTATGTGTCTTGTTCCCTTTTGGCCAGCAGGTGTCGCTGGTCATCCTGTTTTTCCCCCCTCTGTCTTGTAGTCCTTTAGCCCCTAGTGCGTTTCCCTGCTCCCTGGGTCATGTGTAGTTTAATTGGATGAGTATGTGGCTCAGAGGCTGAACCCCTCCAGTAATGAGTTCAGCAAAGACGAAAGGCCACAAGTACAGTATTGTGAGCGAGAACCCAGGGCTTATTATAAAAAAGCAGAGAATGATGCTCCTGGATATTAATCTGGCTGATATGACAGAATAAAAGATCATTTAACCTCTCCTTACCTAAAAAGGCAGAGACATGGTCCTTAAATGACCTCCTCATGGCGTGTTGGACTGGCTGCTGCCCAAGGAAGACACAGAGAGGGATTTGACTGCAATCTACCCCAGGAAATGTGCAGACTCAACACTGGAGCCAGTGATGGTCACGACTAAGCCTTGAAATTGGGGGAATTCTTTTCCCATGCTAATAGCCAGAGACAGACACTGTTAACACAAAGATTACTAAATAAGACTATTTTTTTGTGCAGTGGCCTGAGAATTCAGGAGAATTCCATTATGGACACTGACCAAGCCCATTATGGGATGGGAAGCCGTGTTAATGACAGGAACAGAAGAGGGAAACCTTTCTGTAAGAGGATTAGTCGGCGCGGGCATGCGGTCGCTTCCTGCGTCTGCTTTGTGATGTTATGGTTGTTGTTTATCATGGTTTCTCTGGTGACCTGCTCGGAATTGCCTGTCGATGAATTGCCACCACTGGTCATAACCACCAGCATGTGATTTCCTAGAAGGGGGGGGGGGTGTTTCCAGTGGGGGAAGCAGTTCAGATGAATGGACAGTAGCTTTATCATCACCCCCCCCCCCCCCCCGCACTCATGACCAGGCTCTCACTGCAGCATGGAGACAGCCATATGTAAATACACCTATAGGTGTACACCAATAGGTGCTTTCGCATTGCAGGAACTTTTTTCAAGAACCAGAACCAGGAACTTGTATCATGTTCACACCTAGGGAACTCCACCCGATTGTAGTTCCTCGGAAGCAGTTCCAGACTCTTACAGCCATAGCTTGCTGACTGGTTGACCACAAACACCGGCACTAACAGGGAACTTACGTGGAACAGCATAAAAACAAATGTAGCGGAGAAAAAATGAAGCACATGCAATTATTTTTGTACTTCAGTCACATTTAATGCATCAAAACATTTTTTACTTGTGTCTTCATATTTTTGCATTGGAAAATTCTATCAACAACCAATATACTTTTGTCTAATATTGCTGACAGTGAAACTTGCCAGTGTTTATTAGCAGGATAACGTTACATTGTTTTTTTATTTAGAGAAACTGAAAGATCAATCTGCTGGGCAGATTTCATAATGAAATATAAACATGTCATGGGTCATATGAATAAATTATTAATGAAAGGCTGTATCCCGTTATGATCGCAATTGCCCCCTCCCCCACCTCCAGTAACTAACAGATAACTTAACAAAACAACTTCTCCATCTGACATTGTTTTCGGGTGGCGGTGTACTTTTGAATTATGTGTGAAGTTTAACCTACAGTACGAGCTTTTTGCGTCTCCCAAACTTATTTAACATAAGAGTCACGGTTCTTGTTCTGTGGTGTGAAGGTGACACACAAGCTACAGACGTCCGCCGTTCGGACAGCCCAGGGACTTGTAAACAGGGGCCAGGTTCCAGAACTTCGATGTGAAAGTGCTTATTGAATTCTGGTGTTTCACTCATACCCATTGCCACAGGTGTATAAAATCAAGCAAACAGCCATGCACTCAGGTTTACAAATATTTGTGAAGGAATGGGTCGTTCTGAAGAGCTCAGTGAACTCAAGCAGGGTGCTGTCGTAGGATGCCACCTTTGCAATAAGTCAGTTTGTGAAATTTCTTCTCTGCTAGATGTTCCATGGTCAACTGTAAGTGCTATCATTGCAAAGCAGAAGTATTTAGGAACAACATAAACTCCATAAAGACCACATAAAGTAACAGAGCAGGGTCACTGAGTGCTGAGGAGCATAGTGCGTAAAAGTCACCAAAGTTCTGTTGTCTCAGTAAATACAGAGTTCCAAACTTCCTCTGGCATTAACCCCAGCACAAAAACCATGTGCCGGGAGCTTAATGGAATAGGCTGCAAGCAAGAACAATGCCATCCACATCACCAAGAACAATGCCGCCCACGTCACCAAGAACAATGCCGTCCACATCACCAAGAACAATGTTGTCCACATCACCAAGAACAATACCGTCCACATCACCAAGAACAATGCCATCCACATCACCAAGAACAATGCCATCCACATCACCAAGAACAATACCGTCCACATCACCAAGAACCATGTTGTCCACATCACCAAGAACAATGCCGTTAGATGGAGTGGCGTGAAACACGCCACCAACTGGGCTCTGGAGCAGTGGAAATTTGTTCTGTGGAGTGATGAATCACGCTCCTTTGTCTGGCAGTCTGATGGATGAGTCTGGGTTTGGCAGATGCCAGGGAAATATTGCCTGCCTGACTGCATTGTGCCAACTGTATAGTTTGGTGCAGAAGGGAAAATGGTATGAGGTTGTTTTTCAGGGGTTGACGCTTAGTTCCAGTGAAGGGAACTGTTAATGCTTCAGCATTTCAAGGCAATTTGGACAATTCTATGCTTCTAACTTTGTGTTAAAAGTTTGGGGAAGGCATGGTTGGGTGAGTTTGGTGTGGAAGAACTTGACTGGCCTGCACAGAGCCCTGACCTCAACCCCATTGAACACCTTTGGGATGAACAAGAATGGAGATTGTGAGCCAGATCTTCACATCCAACATCAGTACCTGACCTCACAAATGCTCTTCTGAATGAATGGGCAAAAATTCCTACAGAGACACTCCAAAATCTCATGGAAAGAAAGCCTTCCCAGAAAAATGGCAGCTGTTATAGCTGCAAGGGGGGGGGGCAACTCCATATTGATGGCTATGGATATTGAATGGGATGCTATAAAAGTTCCTGTAGGTATAATGGCCAGGTGTCTCAATACTTTGTATATATAGAGCATAGAGCAGGGGTCTTCAGCTCCAGTCCTAGAGAGCCCCAGCACTACACATTGCTGGGTTTCCTCTCATTTATCATATCTGTCACTTTCTCTGTCTGTCAGTCTGTCTGTCTCTTTTGCTCTCCCCTTGTCTGTCTGTCTTTGTCTATCACTCTGTTTTCATCTGTCTCCCTCTCTCTGTTGCCACTCTGTCTGTCTGTATCTCTGTCTGTCTCTGTTACTCGTTGTCTGTCATCTGTCTCTCTCTCTCGTCACTTTGTTTATCTCTGTCTGTATCTGTCATTCTCTGTCTGTCTGTCTGTCTGTCTCTGTCACTCTGTGTCTGTCTATCACTCTGTCTCTTGCTCAGTCTGTCTGTCTCTCTGTCACTAACTGTCTGTCTGTCACTGTCTGTTACTCTCTGTCTCTCTCTGTCACTCTCTGTCTGTCTCTCTCTGTCTGTCTGTCACTCTCTCCGTCTTTTACTGTCTGTCTGTCCGTCTCTCTCTCTGTCAGGAGTGGGAGAAGCTGAACTATGACATCCACACACTGCGTTGCGCCCGGCGACAGGTGTTCGGGAGGTGGAGGAAGATCCTGCTGCAGATGGGTGAGACAGGCCCTATTTCCTCTATACCTAAGCCGTCCCTCCCTCTGTCCTTTGGCCACCTCTACAGACACTTGACTCTGTCTGCTTCAACACAGTAGAAGTACTGCTCTGGATTTGTCTGGACAGCAGGTGGCGATGTGTCTTCATGTGTCTTCATGTGTCTTCATGTGTCTTCATGTGTCTTCATGTGTCTTTGGTTAGGGGGGTCAAAAAAAAACTGAAAATGATTCATGAAGCCTCACTTGGCCATCATTACAAACTGCCTTATTTACATGAGTTATAGATCACTATTTGTGGTGTGCATTTGCTGTAAGGCACATGCTCTCTGTTTTCCTACTGATCTCCTCAAACTATCTGGCAGGGGTCTGGTTTGATCCCAGAATGCTGTTAGTTCAAATTCAAGGAGTGAAAATTATGAAGCATTTTCAGCATGGACTTTATCCCAAGATCCTTCTGGGCACAAGCTGCCCAGCTTCTGTGACAAATTAAAAAACAGCCAAACATTACAGCTCTGTGCACAGATGTTCATACACATCAGTGTATATGCTCTATGGATCTCATTTTCAAAGGCTATCAGAATGAGGTGGACTCCTTGCTGGAGGTGAACACAGAACGTGAGCGAGAGAACCTGTACAGGGCCAGCCAGCTGCTCCACACACTATGGGAAGAGTGCAGCCTGTTTCCTGTGGGATTCCACACTGAGGAGAAGTACCTGTCTGTCATGGTAGGCCATACCCACCAGTCACTGTCATGGTAGGCCACGCCCACCGGTCACTGTCATGGAGGGCCACGCCCACCGGTCATTGTCATGGTAGGCCACACCCACCAGGCACTGTCATGGTGGACCACGCCCACTTGTCATTGTCATGGGAGGCCACGCCCATCCGTCATTGTCATGGTAGGTCACGCCCACCTGTCACTGTCATGGTAGGCCATGCCCACCTGTCACTGTCATGTTCTCTGAAGGAGTGGTCAAAGTGGTTAGTACTGGGAACAGGGAAAGACTGGCAACAAAAAATAACTGAGGAATTTGCTGTTGGGAGGGTGGGTCCCATTTTCCAGGGAAATCAATGCTGCAATTAATGTTACATTTATAAAGGAATAATAAATAAAGTTATTAAGTTTCTGATACCAGTTAAATCCACTGATTTGTGGATTTTCATCGAATAGAGGGAACATCTGCATGAATTTGAGCTAATTTGTGCACGATGATAAGTTAAAAATGCTGCAGCTACTGTTTAGCATTTTCTGCTTTTCAGGATCGCCTGATATCCCTCGACAGCGCCGAGGAGTTTATCCAACTGGCAAAAGATAAATATCCAAAGACCAGAGCCTCAACCCAGCACCCTGTAAAAACGACCTTGTGGGGATCTCAGGCGGAATGAGGCAGAAAGGTATAGAAAATATAACTCCAAGGCAGCTCAGCTTAGGCATATGAGCCATTCTGAGAATGCTGTGGATTCTGACTGGCAATTCATTATTCTAAGGGGAAAACTTTAATATATTTGACTCTATGGATATATATCCTCTATGGATACATTGTAATCCTGCGTAATAAGTAACACATGCCTCCTCCAATCAGAATCTGCCATATTGGTCTGTGGTCACCTGCAATGTGGGGAGCAGCCATTGGCTGACGCGTGCGTGTGCGCTGGACACATGCTCTTCATTCCCAGGCACCAAGTGGGCCATGTTCTCAGCCAAGTAGATGATGTAGATCCTGGCACACTGACTTCTTACATTGTAATATATCATCCTTGCAATTTTTCGTTCTTGCTGGGCTTGGCTGAGTTTAGTGCCATTTCTTAGTTACAGTATGCGTCGTGGAAAAAAAACGAAAACGTATCCAGCAACTTTCACCTCCAAAAGCATATTTTCAAGAATACAGCTGATTAGTAATACACAACCTGCAAGACTGTGGACAGAGGATGGAAATGACTGTCAATGACAATCCTAATTGACAGCTGCACAGGAAGACAACTGGGAAATATATTGGTGTAAGAATAATGCCCAGCGTTTCAAGCCGAGATAGAGCATATAGCAGGAAATACTCTCCGACGCCTTGTACTTTCTCAATATAACCAGCAGGGGGAACCAAAACCCAAATTTTCCCGAACGTGAATCCACAGTCATCAAAAGCCGGTGGACCGTCTCTGAATAACTGTTGTAATTTATCACATACTGAGACTGAGAAAAAACTTTCGATAGCCCGTGTAATGTGATTGTTCATTGTGAGTTCTCTTTCTCTCCTGACACACAGCAGACACTGTGCTATATTACTGAGGGTGACCTACATATTGTCGTCATGCCGGCCCAATTTGTGTAGCTGGAAGCAGATGTGGAACAAAATGGAGCAGGGGGGGGGGGTCCATCAGAAGGTAGAGGCCGCCCACACTTGGCCGCTGTGCAGATTGGAGGGGGAGTCTGGCGACACCTTGTTCTCATTATCCTGCCCTGTCACTGTGCTGAAACCACTGGAAATTGCAAAATAAAAAGTGCAGTGCTGATGATGTCATACCTGAGGCTCGAGCTAACGTCCACCGGACCCAAAGGGAGCTCAGCTGGAGCCTCCTGCAGCCCTGCCGTCTGCCCGCTGGTGCGATGGCCTCACACGCCACTTCCTACATGTTTCTCACATACTTGGCTTGTTGTAATTTTACATACTCGCCGAAGCAAATCTCCGACCTAAGGACCCTCATAGTTCAGGTCCAGAAAGTACGAATCCAGACCGAGAGTTTGTTCCAACCAACCAGTTGAGTACGCTCTGACTGTGACTCTTTATGCTCAACTGGCTGGTTGGAACAAAATCTCGGTCTGCATTTGTACTTTCTGAACTTGAACTTTCCAGAAGCATCATTCAGAGCGCGGTTTGATTTTAACTGAAGAAAACAGGTCAGCAGCCTCAATTTTGCCTGAGGACTCTGCTTTGACCTCCAAATTCTCCATCATTCCCAGTGAAGGCTGACATCATTCTGCGGTTTCCAGTCTCCTGTATCATCGCCCAAACTCCCACATGCTGCACCACTAACAGGACACTTCCCCCTGGGGGATTCTGGGATTAACTGCTGTCTCTCTGCATTAAGATTCTCGTTAGATGTGTGAACTAATACAAGCCCCCTTTGCTTCAGGTTAGGAACTGATCACCTTCAACTGCAAGCCAGCAGTCTTGGTGATCAGAGCTCCCTTTCAGAAGGCTTGAGACAGGAGCAGCTGTGGAGAGTTTCTACAGCACTTGTTTGGGCTGTGCTTCCCATAGAGGCCATCAGGAGGCGCTATACTATTTAAAATAAAAGCTCTTGGTCGCTATTCTGTGTCCCAAACCACATAGTATTGCTCAGTCCAGGGTGAAAAAAGGTGCCGTTTTCGCCCCTGTCCAAGGTCGTTGCAGAGCTTGAGGTTGGGCCAAACGGCCATCTGGACAGGAGGCCAGATCCTGCTTTCTTCCATAGTTGGAGAGGAGATGTGAAGTGGGGTGGGGTGGGCAGTGAGCATTCATGGATACGTGAGGCAGGATAGACCCCCTTCCCCCCTCCCATCACCGCCCTCACCCGCTATGTCCAGGATATACTCTCTCCCCATCAACATAGAATATTTGTAGAGTGTGGCACAGGATTCACTGAGGCTCTGGGTGTCCACCATTCCTGGGAAGCAGGGATCGCCCCAGAGCACACACTTCTCCAGCCTGGGAGTTAAAAAACTGGGTGAAATGGGCAAGAAGCCTGTTCTCAGTCAGGGCGACTTAAATACAGGCAAAGAGATCTAACAGTCCGTGAATCATTGGGAATATCACACAACCATGGAATACTCATGACCGGGAATGACCCACCGGCTCAAAGGGGAATCCCCTCAGGGTCGTCATCGCATCAGCTGACCAATCCAAGCACATTCCCATGGTTTCAGCTCTTTTTCTATAAGCGTGGCTGATGTCTGACTGACATCAATAGCCCATACTTGAGATTGATGACTGACCTATTTGTTTCGTCCCTGCCTATCTGCACACCGCTGGCCCTACGCGATTCTTAATGCCATCTGGACTTCGGCACTGGTCAATGACCTTCCAAATTCCCCACTTGTCAATGATCGATTGCTCTTGCTGCGTTTCTCACTCTGCACACTCTGCCATGACGCCCTTTATTGAATTTACTAACCCGTTTAGGGTACATGTCGAGAACAGTGACGCCTTAGAGTTTATATGTTCTTGGCTCACTGTACTTTGAACTCCTGACCACTGAGGCGTAGTTGATGCATTCCCCATCAAGACATAAGCAGAGAAGAGAGACGGTGGACAGAGGTGTGATGCTGTTGGTGGCTGACGCTAAACTGTAAAAGATTCTGGAGCTATTTGTGATCCCGAAATAAACCGTTTGACTATGTTTCGTTGTGTAGGGATGGTATGAAAACTTTCCTCCTGAATACATGCTAAAAGATTTTCAGCTATGAGCAATCACTGCTTAATTAATATATTCAGTTATGGAACCTTGGTGACCTTGGCATTCAAAATGATTGATGAAGGGGTTTGTAGCCCTTTGTGAGTAAGTTGCACTGAACCTATATCTGAAGTTGCAATAAAAGATGTTAATGGATGTTTCATGGCCCTTCGCCATCATTCATACCGCTTTAAACTGGTGTCAGCAGAATCTTCCAGCCACATACCACTATACCTGACCTGCCATGGTCACCTTAAACCAGATCGAGCCGGGTCACCTCTCTCCATGGATGCACCAGAGAAGCTGAGACCACTTTTTGCTTTCCCTGGATACCAGTTGATCACTGCCGTGTACCCAAAACTTACACCACGTCCAGTGAGTGGAAGAACCCCCTCCCACAGTTTTATTGCAGTGGGTTTTTTGCTACTGTTTGCTTTGGATTCTCAAGCAGCTCAAATCGAGTGGGGGGGGGGGGGGGGGGGTGCAAGATCTTACAACATCTGAGACAGATTAGCACTGAACCTCTGACTGGTCTGTGCCTCGGTCATGACTCAGAAGGTCCCACTTATCAAACAGCCCCATTCCTGCCCCTGCACTGTGATACCACTGAACATTTATGACAGAGATAGAGTGAGGCAGGCTGTATGTTCTTTGGCTAAAGTTGCAGCTAATCTGCTCTGTAATCTTTCCTATATCCTTAAATGGACACTTTACCTTATCTTTTGACGCAATCAATCATTCAAGCAGAGTCTAGGCAGAGTCTCAATGCTAACGTTCTCCAAAACCGCCTTAGTTTTTCTTTAGGTGCGCACAGTTAAGCTGGTCGTTAGTTTTAAGAGTCGCCAGTGGAATCTGTCCGTGACCATGCAGTGCAGGAACGCCGCCGTCCGATTCGCACCCCTTACTTCATGGGGGGGGGGGGGGGGCAGCTTCTCTTTCACAGGAAATGGCCACAGCAGCCTTGGCTGCCTCAGTGGGCCTCCCGTCTGTCTTGTTGCACCATATACCAGGAAGGCCCTTTTTTAACCCTTAAGAAATCACATGGAACTGAGTCGACACACAAATCCACGATGTGGCACGTCGCGGCCCTCTGACCTCGGGGGAACACCCTGAGAATGCCAGTAGACTGTGCTGAAGCCTAATTTATGCCTGATGCTGTGATTTACTGACTATAATAGCAAGACTCCCCAGGGCACCGAGAGGTCTACGTAAGGGGTATGTGATTACAGTGCACAGCAAATAATCATCTTTATAGCTGGTGGCTAATTACTGTGTATGCTTTAATCCCAAATGACGTATGCAAATTGGATTTAATTCAGTAACTTGATATTTAATTTGTATTTTCTCAGTGAGGGGTCTGCAAACAGGAAAGCCACTTCGGATTTGGGCAGTATCATCAAACTGGCATTTCCTTACTCTTGTCATCCATCGCCATGATGCCACCCCCGCGAGGGACCGAAATCCCCACTTTCTTGTCCCTGTGACTGTGCAGAGGCTCAGTCTCCCTCCCCCCTCCCTTAAAGCAGTCAGATGCAGCTGCCATGGATTTGATGTGGGTGGTTTGCAAGCCACTAACATGAAAAGCAACGATATGTCTCACGACTATCAGCCAATAAGGAGACAGGGATGCAGACCACCTGTTTTTCTTTCTTGCACAGTAGTGCATCAGAGAGTCTTGTTGCCCAGGTTTGAAAAACTGGAACAGCAAAAAGCCAGACACTAACTGATCTGGTTCAGAGACCGAATTCAATCTTAAGATGCAGTCTGGTGTTTTTGGGACGAGTGAATGACTTTGACAATGAAGATGGGCTCAGAGGAAGGTAAGGTGGGCGGACAGCAAGCTTAGGGTGCTGCTCGGAGGCTGGGGGAGATGCTGCGCAGATGAGGGCTGACAGTCCATCGCGGACACGCCAGCCCAGCACTGCGGGCTTCCTCTGTGATCCCATTAGAGCAGATAACACACAAACGGAGCCCTTTGTTTGCTCAGCTTTCCCAAACAGTAAGGTCCTGGGGGGCTTAAGCTGCCCCCCCTTCCCCCACAACTCCACACCAACATCCGCCAGAGCTCAGCGGGGGGGGGGGGGGGGCATTTAGGCATCAGGCAGATATGTAAACGTGCTGAGTGGCACTCTCAACAAAAAAAACAAAAAAAAAAGGCAGAATTGGTTTGTGTAGTGATGTCACTCACACCGTGGGATGGGTGGCAGGTAGGGGAAAGCCCCCAGAAAGCCCAAAACAAAAGAAATTCAATAAACAAAGAGCATCCAGCTGGAAATTCTCAGGAAAATAGTCAAAAAATAAACGGTATGTGGGAGACGGCCCACAAAAGGCCCTGGCTGTGACAGACAATGATACCGGCTGCCGTTCATTTATCTGGAAGGATCTGCCAGATGTTCACAGTAGTGGCCTGATTTAACCACGGCCTTTACCTATCTATCTATCTATCTATCTATCTATCTATCTATCTATCTATCTATCTATCTATCTATCTA